AGGCAGAGAGGGAGAAGAGGACAACAAATGAGGGGCTGTGACAAACTGTTTCGTCGGAGTTTCACCGACTCATCAGGAGGCTGAATATATATATATATATACTAGGCCACCAGAGTGGTCCTGGACCACTTGCCCGGCCAGGCCAAAAAGAATTTTAAAAAAAATCAAAAATATTTCTTTTAACATTATTTTTTATTTGCAATTTGGTGAAGAATTTTGATGTGACCCTCAGGCAAAAGTTGTTCACTTTATTTTTCTGCTTAACATAGTTTTTTTCTCTGATTTCTTGGAATTCGTTTTTTTTTTTGGCTGGGACCCTCTTTGGCCCTCGCACGGCCAGGCCACTCGGGCAAACAAGGCGACCCGGGCAGCCCGGCTGGTAGCCTAGTGTGTATATATATATATATATATTGTCACACTGTGAATCAGAGCGCGAAAGCAAAAAAAAGCAAAACAAGGAAAGGAAAAGAAGGAAGGCCCCACCTGTTCATCACCTCTTACGTACAAGGCCCCCCACGTGGATGACAGGTTGAGCGCTGGCTGCCCCCATCCCCGTGTGTCACAAGGACCCACTTGCACGCAGCCAAAAGGCAAAGAGGTAAAGAAAAGGAGGAGGAAAGCAGACCTCACAGAGGCAAGAGAAAGAGAAAGTCAAAGAAAAGACAGGAAGAAAGCAAATGACACACCCCACAGATAAACCAATTGCCACTGTCACTACAAAATTCAACATATTTTTTCCTGTCCTACGATTAGTGTTGCTCCTGATCGCTTGATTATATTGACCAGTTCGAAAGAGGAGCCCCCATCCCGGCAGATAGGACAGGCACGCTGAGGATGACGTGGATGTTCACAAGGATACCCAAGGAGAGCTACATCGGCACAGCATTCAGCAGGACGGCTAGCACGGACCATCCCATCAAAACAGTCCTGACAAAGGACATCATGTCCACATGTCAATACATATATATATATATCAGCCTCCTGATGAGTCGGTGAAACTCCGACGAAACAGTTTGTCACAGCCCCTCGTTTGTTGTCCTCTTCTCCCTCTCTGCCTACGGTTTACCGGGCAGTTCTATTTGACGATATATATATATATATATATATCGTCATATATTTGAAAAGGGGTTTAAGCGGGGAGAGAGATGGTTTTGTACTCAAACCTGAGTTTCCGAATGACCGTTCCGAGCGTGAGAAGGCTCCGGTTGATATGGCATCCCTCCTTCAATCGTGTACCTTCAGCCATTGTCTGAGATGCACGCTCACTTCCTGCCAAGTCCACAAAATTCTGCGAAATTGCAACCAACCACCCAGGCCGATTGTCAACACGATGACAAGTCACCGTGAAAAGCAGGGACTGACAGACAATTCACTGTGAAAAGCAGGGACTGACAGACAAGTCACCGTGAAAAGCAGGGACTGACAGACAAGTCACCGTGAAAAGCAGGCACTCCTGGGAAAAACTAAGTTGAGTGAAGTAGCAGAATGATACTGCCCCCCAAAGCCAGCCACCACAGGAACACCACAGGGAAACAAAGCGCTCGACTGCCATTTGATCTAGGCCCAAGCTCAGACGAAGTACTTCTCCAGGGTTGGCCATCATTCTGTACGCACATGCCCATAAGTACATGCATTTAATACTACCGTCTTCACCCCAATAGAACGGCCAGTCAATATAGCTGTATCTGAACCGAGTGTTGCGCAAGTACAGCTATAACGACCGGGCGTTCTGTTCGGGTGACGACGGCGCAAGTACAGCTATAATGACCTTCCAAGTATGCACAGTGGACGACAGCAGAGAAAGGAAAGTACTTCATTCCTGCTTTGCAAGAGTGAAAACAAAAAATTGGGATAATCCTAAAGGGAGTAGCCGATAACATTACTGCATCCATGTAATTATTAACAGTGACATGTGTGTAATGAATTGGGCCACGTGGACTGGCTTTACTCCACGCCTGTTGTTTTGAATTGGGTAACATATTGTAACTTGTAAGTCGTTAGAGGCTAAGCAGTGCTGTGGCGGGGGGGGGGAGGCAATTTTCCATGGCCCCGAAGGCAAATTCCTCATCAGCGTACCTTGGATGAATGCACCCGGTCAACAGAACTATTCCGGTGCACAGCAATGTATTTGATCATTCAACTGATCCGTTTTCGTCCGTATCGGGGGCACAGAAATTCGACCAACATATATATATAGTTCATAGTTATGTGACAAGATATATATATATATCGTCACAAACAGAAAATATATATTATATATATGGATACTGAAGGAGCACTGGTTATTGAGTTACACAAAGCAGGAGGAAAAAAATTGAAAGTGAAAATTCAAAATCCAGTGCAGCATGCGACGCAGTGTGTTTTAGGCACCTGAAGCCCTTTTGCCACTAGAGGAGTCGCACTGAAAACAGTACTGGAGTCGAGCCGATTCGGATTCGGATTCGGATCTTCTTTCCCCACCAATTCTTCCAAGGCCGTTCCTTTGCCTGTGGTTTCACAGGAGGATGGTAGTCCCTTTCCATTGGAGTGGGACAGTGGGTCGATCTGCAAGGATCTCAACTCGGCTGAACCGGGCTGACTTATCCAGCCCGGTTCGATTTGGCCATTCGGTTTCCTTCGTGACCGGTCCAGGTGGTCTGCATTACGGACAGGTTCACATCCTCGCTCACAGCCCAAGCGGGCTCACTTACTTACAGGGCTTCGGTATAGGGCTGCTGCAGTCTTTCCACTTCCATCTTCAGTATTCGATCGAGTCAGGCAAGCTGCTTCGTCACTAGCTCGTCCAGAATGAGATTGTACCCAAAAATAGCTTGCTCCCCACGCATAGATTGGAGCATCGTCTCATTTATGCAATCAGACTCGTCTCATTCACACTTTTCATGTATGTAAACAGCAGCACAGCAAACTGGCGACATGCGCCCACACAGTATTCAGAGATATGGCTTCCAGGTAAGAGTTCACTTCCACTGGCTATGGCGTCTCGGCGCCCAACAACCCACTGTTCACACACACTGGACCACCCTGGATATCCCACACGCGACACCCCGAACACTCACACAACACACACACACACACACTTCACTCTAAGCTATGGCTATGGCAGAGCTGGCTGCCTCTACCCTATCGCTATGGCTACACCTCGTCACTCTCACCCACTTCGACTTCGGGCCTACTGCAGACCTCGCACAAGATGCTGAGGCAGCGCTTCCGCATGGCTTCCGCAGGAATGAATGAATGGCTGTGCGCGGCCTCTTGATTTATACTTCTGTGACTCGTTGTTCTGCCCTGTTTCCCTGGCCCACGGTGTACACAGTCCCAGACGGTACTTGCTTGACTGGACTGGGACTGCTGACTCTGCATGGTGGGCTTCACCACTTGCCCACTTGCCTGGACCTACAGTGGGCTGACTTCCGAAAGGCCACTTCTAGAAACCTCTACTTGGCCTTTCGGTACTGTAGCAGCTACTTCTCTGCCCTTTCAGGTAAGTAGCAGCTACGACTTTGACCCTTCGGAAAGTCTACAGCTACGACCTCTAGACTGTCTAGACTCCTACCCGACAGGTCTACAGTTCGAATCCCCTATACCCTGTAACCTACGACATTCTACCTACCACTGGCGATCCTACAGGTCGCAGGTTCAACTCTACGGGTTGACAAAGGTACTGTACACAGGTAAGGTGGGGATCTAGGGATCGAGCCCTGGGATCTGCATCAGCTACTGCGAACTGGTGAATACCGTTTCATTTAAAAAAAAAAAAAAAAAAGCTTTAGTCCCAAAGGTCGTGTGAGGTAAGATAGTGGTATGCCGAAGAAGGCTTGTCACTATCCAGGTATCCTTGTTTCCGGCCTTGCATGTGCGCATTAGCTCTATCTGTTCGTATTGTTCGCACTGTTATTGCAGTGACAAATGACCTGGAAGGATCTTGACTCTCGTCTGTCCTGGCAAAAGCTTTCACGGCCAAATTGGACTGACCACTCCAATTTTTTGGCTCCGCCGTGGACAAAGGTTATCCTCCGACGGTCATCTGCACATGGACAGCCATTCTTCAACGTCTTCCTGTGCACAAAAAGGCATTAAAATTTAAAACACGTCTATCATTCTGCACGTTTTCCTGTGTGCACACAAAGCTTCTACAGAGAGATGGGCTATGGTTGGCAAACTCGTTGACGGGTGATTGGCCCCAGCCGTACTCCTGAAGCTCAGGACGCTCGTAGTGCAGGCTATGTTCAACTACCAGTACCATAGCCAACACACTCGAAGCTCAGGACTTTCTGTGGTCGTGCTTCCGAGTTTAATGGAGGCTCTCTCTGTGAAAAACTTGGGCTGCAGGATCGAAAATCTGACAGGCTGTCGTTCCCGGGCTGGCAAACTTTGGGTGTGGGGCCTTGTAGTCAGGGAAGAATCCATCACAAGGATCGCGGCACTCGGTGGACAAACTTCACCATCGCAGTAGGTCGTGTGAGGGCTAGGTGGACACAATTCCGCCCGTCCTCTCTAATAAGCCGTTCCCACCCTACCGTCTTCATCCAAACGCACCCGGTCATTCTAAGAGCATTTTGTGCAGCATTCAGTCCAAATGCAGAAATAACGACCAGGAAGAATCTATTCAGGCGAAGACAGTAAGCCTTCCGGATCCATTTCTCCAATAAAAAACGTTTTTCTTCTTGGCTGCAGGTCCCCCTTTACAATCAGCACAGCTGTCAACCAAACATGCTAGCCCAAAAAAACAGAGGATGAAAAACTGCAAAATACAGCCGCTGATTCCAACAACTTCATCAGAAAGCAGGCAGGACTGTCTTTCTCCAAATATATTCTCAGATGTCTGTATGAGCTAGAAGAGCGCACTTTGCGAAACAACCGGTAAAATTTATTTAAAAAAAACAAAAAAACAAGACAAACATGAAGGGCACACTTAAACCATTCACTTTTCTCATTCTTCTTTTCACTCCCTCTTCACCGTGCCTCGCGCATACGAGGCTCGCCACGTTGATGAAGTTGAGCGCGAACTGCAAGACCATCAATTTGCGTTGTTGTATTCCATGGATAAGGTAGTAGACCATGCACAATTACTATCAACAAAGTGATTGGACATCAGTGATATTGAATTGTTTATGATTAATCAAATTATAATACTTCTGATGAACATGAACAAAAAATGATTGAACACAATTACAATCACTTACTTTTGAGAGTTTTATGGCTGCAGAGAATGCCATAGAACATGGATTTTTCCCATAAAGCAATGGATCGCAATATATTTGTATCATTTGCCATCATTGGTCTCTTTTTTGTCACTTTTGTTTTTCCAACCACAAACAAGAATAACCGTCGCAGAAATGACTTACCAGGCTTGACATCCAAACTTGGCCATGAAGATCTACGTCATCTGACAGCTTGGCCTGCCCGGGGCGGCCCTTGGGAGAACTCTCCACCATCTGAGGTACAGATAGGCACATCCAACAGCACAAACATGGAGCGAGAAGACGGATGAATGAATATCACCCCAGCGATAGCAAGGTGACTCAAAATGGGTGAAGAGTGATTGAACGACACAAAGGGGTGGTATAAACAAAGCATGCGAGTTAAAAAAGACAAGATAAGAAGAAGAAGAGGAAGAAGAAGGTTTTCGCCTCCTTGCCCGCCGGCGAGTCATCATTCATCTAGAGCCCAAACGGAATCAACAAAAACACTGTCGTTGCATTCAGGTCGGAGAACAAACGGGGGACATCCCCAAGGCCATTACATTTTGCCGTTCCTTGAAAATAGATCGATCGTGAGTCGTCTAGAGCCCAGATTGCACAGCAGCTCAAGGAGAGTTCCATTGGCGCTCGACGCTCATGCTTGCTCGAACACAGAGTACAGGAAGCATCTAGAAAAACTGAGAAAATGAATCACGGACCGTGTTTCGGCTCCGGCACATGACGAGTCATTCTGATAGAACACACACATGTTTGAGATGACCATCTTCCCAAAATGGGAACTGTACGGATTTGTGAGGCAGCAGTGGTGGGGATTAACTCTGGAGGAGATACAGTAAGTAGTACGTTCTGTGGAGGAGAATGGGGGGCCGGGAGGTTGCCAAGAACTCTGAGAGAGGTGATGTCATCGTTCAGTAGCCACGTTCTGCAGTACGTGGTGATTGGTAATCGTTAATCCTTTCTTGAGGGCATTTATATAAAAGGGAGGTACCTAAGGGACGCTGGACCCAGTTTCCAGCAGTTGCTGCTCCCCACCAATAGCTGGAGCAGCCCGATGGCCAAGGCCTCGATTCCAGGGTTCTCTCAGAGGCCTGGCAAAAGGGCTTTCTTCCAAAAAAACAAAAAACAATACGATACATCATCCTGTGTAATGACCCGCCAAAACACAGACTGAGAACACTGCTGATTTCTGGGATTTGCCGCTGGAAATGATTGCCTTGATGAGATTCCCGCATTCTGCTGAGATTTCTAAGTCTGTGTGTGTGTGCGTGCGTGCCTGCTGGTTTGCGTGCCTGACTGAGTGCTTGTCGGCTGAGTGTGTGTGTGACCCGCAAGGGTACTTTACTACTTGTTGGTTGAAAGGCCCCGCAGGGCCCGTACCTACCTGTGGCCGTAACTTTCAGGGTTGCAGCGGGGAAAACACTCAAGTAGCGGGGGTAGGCCCGCGACACTTAGAGCAGCGAGAAAAACACTCAAGTAGCAGGTAGGCCGGTACCACTCAAGTAGTGGTATAAGTGTCAGGGACAGGAGGCCGAGCAGAAGAAGACAAAAGTTGGCATTTTTAGAGGCCCAGTAGCGGTAGGTTAGAGGTAGGCCACTTTGTCACCAACCAACCAGACCCGTTTGATCAAAGTGACACAATTCTCTCAAGTCTGTAGGCCAGCTGAATACCCAGGTGCACAAAGATCCATCTCCAATCTGGGCCTAGATGAGCATCCAAGTTACACTCTTGGCAGGCGGCAGCAGAGTTTCACATCGAACAGATGGAAAATTAGCTTAAGGTGGTTTAGGGCTTAGGTCCGGGTATGGGCAGAAACAAGATAAGCAAGGGGTAGAAGGCTAGAGATTTCACGAGGCGCTTATGCGGGGGTTAGGGTTTATCAATGCTGATCAGGGTTCCTTGGCGATGGAAGAGGGTATTCATTGATGTATTTTTTGTCCTGACCTGCCGGCCGAATAGGAACCGGACTGATGCTCCCCACCACCACCACCACCACCACAACCCAAAAAAAAAAAAAAAAAAAAAAAAAAAAAACATCCAGCCGTTAAGGCTGTATCTGGACGGGAAGTTTCCCCAAAAAACAGGCGTAGAAGAGCATCCAAGATTCATGCGCTACAGGCGGCATCTGATGTTTTCACGGAACAGATCGCAAAAGAGTAATCTTGTTTTAGGGTCAAGGGTTCAGGCTTGAGGCTTTGGACAGAAACAAGACAAGCAGGGGATAGAATGCCAGGGATGTCACTGTGGCTCAAATGCGGGGTTTAGGGTTTAGGCAGAACTGGTAGCAGTGGTAGCTTCTCAGACCTTTCTTCCGTTTCGTGTTTTTGAAACGGTATTCACCTGTTTGCAGTAGCGAATGCAGATCCCAGGGCTCGATCCCTAGACTTACCTTGCCTGTGTACATTACCTGTGTCGACCCCAGGAGTTGAACCCACGACCTGTGTCTGTTCCCACAGTTGGTAGACTGTCGTAGGGTCCATAGATGGTAGGGGTTCAGTCTGTAGACCTGTCGAATAGTGGTCTTAGGTAGTTCTAGAAGTCGTAGTTGTAGGACCTCTGAAAGGTCAAGGTCGTAGCTGCTACAGTATGCGAAAGGCCAGAGTTGAAACTTCCGGAAGGTCCTGGTACTGGCCTTTCGGAGATGCTCACGTTTAGGCTGAGGCAAGTGGGCAAGTGGTGGAGTCTACCCGTGCTGAGTCAGCAGTCCCAGTCCCAGTCAGTCCAAGTCCAGTCAAGCAAGTACAATTTGGGACTGTGTACCCAGGGCATGGGAAACGGCCAGACCAACGAGCTACAGGAGTATAAATCAAGAGCCAGCGCCCAGCCATTGATTCATTCCTGCACAAGCCATGCGGAAGGGCTGCCACAGCGACTTGTGCGAGGCGGTCTGCAGTGAGCCCGAAGACGAAGTGGGCGAGAAGGAAGCTTAGCCATAGCGATAGGGTAGCAGCGGCCATAGCCGCCATAGCTGTAGAAGTGTGTGCGTGTGTATGTATAGAGTGATGCGTGTGGGATATCCAGGGTGATCCTAAGTGAGTGTGTGTGAACAGTGGGGTTGGGTGAGTGACGAACAGAGAGTTGTACAGGCGCTGATGCGCCATTGCCACTTGAAGCGAACTTGTATCTGACTGTGTTCTGAGCTTCCCTATCTCTGAGTTTTGAGTGGGCGCATGTCGCCAGTTGCTGTGTTACCTGTTTACATGCATGCGAAGTGTGAATGAGTGCAAGTCTGATTGCATTTTAGTTGACAGGATCTTATAGGGATCCTGAGAGGAAAGGTGGAAGCAGGGCAAGCTGACAGTCAATCCTCCACGATGTTGGAGCAATCAATGCTGATCAGGGGTCCTTCGGAAGGAAGTGTGAGGGTGTCCTATGATGTAATTATTTTTCCTGACTTGCCGGTGGAATAGAAACCGGACTGATGCTCCCCAGAATGGAAATGAAGCCAGGGCCATAAGGTCCTGTTTAAAAAAAAAAAAAAAAAAAAAGAAGGGTTAGAGGTAGGCCGGTACCAGTCCAAGTAGCCTGAGTCTAGGGCCTGTCCGGACGATAGCAGAGCCTGCAATGATGTCTCCCTCCGAAAGGGAGGAGGTACTGGTTGCTGGGAGGCCGCTCGGCCTAGGAAGTCACCGCCCAAGAGGCCAGGAGGAGCAAGCAGCTCATTTGCGGTATGCAAGGATTGGCGACATGCTGCTGGACCCAAGCGCTGGAATTGGGAGCGCAGCTGGAAGGAGGAGAGCAGCTGGGCGCTCAGCCTGGCTATGGCGAGCATCCCAGCCTGGGGAGGAGGAAGAAGGGGGCGAGGTACCTACCTGGCTATGGTGGACACCATCTTCATCACCTTGTTGGGCGCTGCATCTGGAAGGCCCCAGTTGGGGTAGTGTCACACCAAGGAAGCTCGAGGCATAGTCAGGCATGGCGGCTTAGTGAGCAGCGGCATAGCTGCTTGCGTTGACCTTTGGACAGGAGTGCAGCGGCATAGCGGCTTTGCGTTGTCCTTTGCACAGGAGGGCAGAGAGCCCTTAGTAGTCCCCAATAGCCTAGGCATGTCAGAGGAGGAAGAAGGGGGAAGCCATGGCTATGGTGGACCTGTTGTTGTGTAGGAGGGAACTTCGGATATTGATTCTGGTTCATCCACTCATTGCTATTATTATTATTGGAAGAAGAATAAGATTGGCGAAGTGAAGGAGGAGGAAGGTGGAGAGAGAAGTGGGATTTGTCATTGGTCTTGCTGGAGTACATCTTCTTCTTCTTTCTCTCTTCTTTGGTCTCTATCTCTTTGCAAGTGCTTTCATTTCTTTCGCAATTAGGTGGCATTGTCCTTCATTGTGAATTTGCACTTTGGGAATGACCAGGATCGTAACATCCTGTATAATTTGTGGTGAGAATCAGGTGCAGTGAATTGTTCCAATTCCACTCGTCCGGGCGATTGCAAAAATGGTGCAAGTGTGAAAAGCGCAAGCACAGCCCGTCCCCTGGTTGCTTGACGCCAAACTGGCAGGTTATGGAGCTGAGTGCTGCATGAATAGCCATGTATGAGGTTGATGGCTTCCTGCTTTGCTTCCTTGCTCCTTACTGGATGGAGTCTTTTTCTCTCCATCTCAACTGTTCTTGGCGTATCTGCTTGCCGGTGATAAGCAATGGGACTGCCGCTCCCCGGCACAGATGGGGTATGTACGTGTGTGTTTGTGTTAAAATAAATAAAAAAAAGGAAGAAAGACTCTACGTAACTGCAAGTACGTATCTAACTGCAAGATTAACAAAACGCTGGGTTCAAAGCATCTGCATAAAAATAAAAAAAAACAAAACAAAGCATCTGCATCACCACTACCGGTAGTAGGACCTACTACAGAACCTGGAATCTGAAAGAGGCTATGTATGGGTAGGACGAACAAAACGCTACGTTCACTCGGAATGAGCTTTCTTACCAAACGTATGATCTGATGAGACCTCGAGCTCGCATCATTCAGATGAGTCTCTCCCACCTGCCTCTGTGCTGTACACCCAACAACCAATATACCCCACCCAACATACACACCCAATATGAACACACCACATTTATACTTGTTCTTGGATCCATCTCTGCAGATGAGCAACGAGGTTTCAGAGCAGAGCCTTTTCAAATTTTCGTAGATCATTTCTCAAGGCCCAACTGACAGTTCCCACGATGCTCAATGAGCCGTCTGCAAACCGCACAAGATAGTGACCAATTTGCACAGCTCTCTATTCTGGTTGCTTCATGGTATCCAGAGTCCCCTAAGCGTCACACTTCCTTTTTTTACACGATTTAACAAACTCGGTGTTTCGTTATTCAAACTCCAAACACAGAAAAAAGTTCCCATCAAAGAAAACGCATCTGCACATCTAACAGGCTCACAGCACAGATCTGTGAGAAAAACCTCTGCTCTGAGAGAAAACAACATAGCGAATTGCAAGCACGCAAGAGCTCCGCACCAAAAACGGCTGATCCTGAGGCCCTCCTTATCCATCATAGCAAGGCGATTATGACTTTCTCTACGGTCAAAGGTTACTCGCATGATAAATGTAGCATACTGAGTATATAAATGCAGTCTTTTTTTTTTCTTTAGGGCGCTGCTGATGCTTTGCGTATCTGACAATCTACATCTTAGTCGACTTGCTTGTGAGGTTGTTGACATGCTTATTTCAATACTGGGCCTCTAGAAACTAAGTATCGTATGCCTTCTTCAAAAGCTCATTTCAAAGGACCTGTTAGAAAAACCCGAGCGTTCTCTTTGGATGTGGCATGCATAGAATGCATTGTAGAGAGCGTTAGAAAACGATGAACGCATGTCACATGATGTCAGTGATATAATAAAACACACATCTTCAGTCCATTCCTGATCATGGGTAACGAGCACTAACCAGCATTAACTTCCTTTTTTTTTTCCCCCCTTTTCTGACGAGCATTAACGTTGATAGCCATATTCGAGTGGTTAATTACTCGTTTGAAATATTAGCTTTCAAAAAAGCTGCATCTACTTACAGGCACACTCCGCAAGAATCATGGGTAATGAGCACTAACCAGCATTAATTTTTCCTTTTCTGACGAGGCATATTTGAGTGGTTAATTACTCATTTATTTGAAATATTAGCTTTCAAAAAAAAGCTGCATGTACTTACAGGCACACTCCGCGAGAATCATGCGCAGATGGGCACTTGAGGTCACCACTTCTTCCGTAAGCTTGCCCACGACCGTACCTCTCTGAAACCCCACACACACATATCATCCATCCAATCCATCCAGTGCAATTGAATCCCGATGCAAGCCAACAAGAGCAAAGCCAGGACAACACACACAAAGACAAACCAATAAACAGCTGTACGATGAAAGGTGGGCGGGGGGGACAACAACTATTTCAGACTATTAATGGTGTTCAGCCGGCTCTGAAAACATTGAAAACAGTTAAAAGGGAAAGGACGTCTAATGGTGTTCAACCCATAACTATTTTCATTGCTCTGCTGGACACAGTCTTTGCATGGTTAAAGTTCCGTTAAACACCATTCCAAGTCCTTTCCCGTGTCCAGCAGAGCACTGAAAACAGTTACAAGGGAAGGGCTATTACTGATGATGACGAACTCGTTGTATGTACAAGGAGGATTTTCCGATCATCAGCACATTTTACGATCATCATTATCGCTATTCCTAGTCTGAATAGCTGGCCCAAAACACAGCTATAATGACCCTGCCCCAAGTAGGTCCTTCCCTCATCCCATCATCGTCTCTTGTCCAACCCCATCCTCTCTGTGTTCCCATAACCTCCTGTCACAGCTCTTTCTACAAGGGCTACATCCACGCTTCCCTGCCCGGTGCATACATATGTAACCGCCCAAAAAGCCGCCGACGGAGGGCAGGAAAAAGGACAAGGAAAAGGAGGTGGTGCCATTCTGTTTTCTCCAATCATCACAGATTCATCAAGGCGTCCATCACTATATGTGCACTCACATATCTGTTGCCAAAAAGAATAATGTCAGTGCTGCAACATCTGCACTTCAATCGAAGGGCTGCACATGAAGCAGTCAGCCCTCGGCTGCACATGAAGCAGTCAGCCCTCCATATAGTCCACTCACTACCTTCCCAGCTGCATTTACGAACAGAGTTTACACCTCTGAAAGAACATAGCTATAGAACATAGCTATAGAACATAGGCTATAGAACATAGCTATAGTCCGCTGCTGCATTTCCGAACTGGTTGATGCTCTATGCTACCTTCTTCCCCCAAACACAACGTCCAGTCTGCACTATATCTGTGCCTGGCGGCTTGACAGCTGCACTAAACAACATAGCAATCTGACAGCTATAGTAACAAACTTGGCGTCGTCCTGTGCCAGGGAAAAGGATAGCAATCTGACCTGACATCATTCAGGCATGTCGACACAAGTGTGCGGCAATGCCCACGTCTGTCTCTATTCTGAGGATGGCAATCCCAAAAAAAAAAAAAAAAAAAAGAATGGAACGGCAATCGTGAGATCTCTGCGTTAGACATCACGCCTTTCACTCCTTGCTGAGAAAAACTTCCGGGGAGCAAAACCGGACTGGAGCCCGGGAGCACCGGTGTATGTGTGGGTTTTCTTAAAGGACCAGTACATTTCTCACTCGACGCTAAGTTGCAAATGTAACCTACTCCGAAAAAATCCGCGCTGGGCAGCTGCTGACATTTTTCATCAGCGGCTCCCGGCCGCCAAATTTGAATTTTGAGGCGGGCCCACGAACCGCCGATGGTATTAAGTTTGCAAGTGTAATTTTATAAACAGCAACAACAACAACAATGACGACAACAACAACAATAATAACAACAACAACAACAAATCATTATACCCAAACATAAACCCATGGAAGAGTCCGTCCCAATCATGCACACGGCAAATGGAGATACGATGCTGCAGAACAGTGAGCACGCACGAGAATGCGTTTGCAACCGTGAGATATGGTTTGAGATGTAGTTATGGGAAAAGGCGAAGGTTCCTAAAAATAGCCGAACTACCAAATCTCCAGAGCTCTTTCCCCATACTTACATCAGGATCATCCAGCAGCTTCAGAGCGCCGCTCTCTGCATTTAGCAAATCTCGCACTACTTCGTTGTAAATCTCCAGAGCTGAGACTCTGATGTTGTACTCCCTCTGGGCCATCTGCAGCGCAGAGGTTCCACAAGTAAACAAAAAAGGAAAAGAACGAGCAATAAGTAAACAAAAAAAAAGGAAAAGAACGGGCGATAAGTAAACAAAAAAAAAGGAAACGAACGAGAATAACAGGTCAGACAGGCGAGCATTTATGAACGGGAATTTATTTCCGTTTCTCTCTGAAACATTCACGGCGGGCTCACATTCACACTATCGTAAATGCATCTGACCCATTTACGGCCGGACCTGGATGTATCCGACTGCAATTACGTTCAGAATTAGTTAAAAAAAAAAAAAGGTCCTAGCGTGAGAGTCCGCCCTCAGTTCAATTACGGGTGTTTCGTCTGCCAGTACGTATAGCGTCCCAGTCAGTACAACGTGTGAGGTCGTCAGCATCATTTAAAAAAATAAAAATAAAAAAATACGGCCATCATATCCTGCCTCTCAATGATTTTTAAATTGTGCAGCCCACTTTTCTCTTTTGCTTTTTTTAAGGGAAGAAGAAGATGATTGTGTTCCAGAATTCTTATTCACTTCCAAGAGAAGCAGCTTTCGCTTTTGATATTATTGCGCATTAAATAACCGCTTGAGAAAAGCGTTAACTCGTCCAAGAAAAGGGTTGGAGAAAAAAAAAAAAAAAAAAACCTCTTTTAATTTTAACGACATTTTTTGCTGGTATTTCTCACCCACTCAGCCTACAGCACGGCAGCAAACTTCTGGGTTTTTTTTTTACTTTCTTTCTGCTTTGTATATCATGCTCGATATTGAAAAAGAAAAGTTCGCTGAAAGAGAACTCTGACACGATGTTGAGGTCGCGACTTCGATGGAAGAAACAAAAAGCTACACAGCCAATACACACCAACCGAAGCGCTGTCTAATAGTTAAAAAAAAAAAAAAAAAAAAAAAAAAAAAAAAGAAAGCAAGAATAACTTGAACAAGTATGTAGCACACACAATGACTCACCAGGTTTTTGGAATCACATCGCAGAATGATCTTCGTCAGCTCCATGACCTGTGCGTGTGCAGCATCTCTCTGCGCTGCCAGCTCACGCATCTCCATCTCCATCTGCCAGGAAAAAAAAACACTTCCTTGTCAGTCATCCTTTTCTCCCTCGATTCCCACAAACATCTTAGAACATTTTGTGCACACAGTTATCTCTACCTGCTGTTCTGTCTGCCATCCAATCCAAGCAGTACCCAAAGTCTCCGTGGGCATAACGTTCAATACAGCACAAAGAAGTGCAGGGAGAAAAAAAAGACAAAAAGAAAAAAGAGACAAAGGAAGAAGGGAGAAGGAGAACAGGCAACAGAGAACAACCGCCCACAAAAAGGCTGGTATGAAGGGGGCTTAGTGAATTTTACTCAACTCACCTCCTGAAGTTGGAGCTCCTTCGCCTTGGTCTCCTCTGGAAGTGATTTCAGTTCGTTCTGCAGCTTTGCTATTTCCCGCTGAAGCTGTTTGATAACGACCTTATCGCTCACCATCTGCAATGGTCCCACCAATTCAATTAGTTACAGTGTAGCTCAGGCCCTTGACTCAGAACCTCAGATATTAGCAAAAGCGTCCAGCAAGGCAAAAACAATGGGAGCCTTAGAAAAGACAATGCTTTATACCACTAAGGTTGCACTTAGACGTAATGAATCTCAGAGTGAAACGGGAAGCAGCAAGGCCGACACATTCAGCCTCTAGCAACACAATCATCAATCTGATACAAATACTCATTGACGGGTAGCAGTCTCCAATCCTTGGGTGTGAGATCGAAGCGTTTGTGAAATCTCGCTATCTTCGGTACCTTCCTTGGTGCCTTGACCGTCTTGAAAGGATTTTGCAAGATCATTTGACTGAGTACAAGGCACAAACTGTCTTCGATAACGTCAATTTCGGTGAGTGCTTTCGGCTTCATGTCAACTGTCCAAACCATAAACAAACATTACGAATGGAAGGACAACAATGGATATGTTCGATCGACCACCGCCTCAGGGGCACTTGATTACCACGATGCAGAAAAGGTGAAAAGTAGAGAGTGTGGGAGATGAGTAAAGGAGACGACCAAGTACTTCCAGCCATAACCAGGCGTAGCAGGCGGCGTGGATAGAGCCTTATATGCTTACGATTCACCAGTGGGTAAGTCAGTGGACTGACGTCAACCAGCACAAAAGGGGGGCCTTCCAAAAACAAAACCAGGGCGCCCCGTTGCAACAGCCAAAAGACGGCCATGCAAAGATACAAATTTGCAGCCAACAACCAACATACCACGGCAAACTTGCTGGGCATAGACTCACGGAAATCCCCCACTGGGTTGTAACCACTGCTTGTTGGGATTGCAAAAACAAATGACGAAGTTCATTATCAATTTATCATTGAGTAGACACAAATTCTGAAAACAAAGGTTTTCTCAACTAACTCATCTGACAAGAAGGGGACTAACAAACGGAAACAAGAGACCATACCACATTCACATGGGCACTATTCGTGACTTCCTTGGCCCGGGATGCAAAGGAGAGAGTGTTCCTCGTCTGGTCGACATGCGACAGAGCTGGACTCATTGTACATATGATCGCAGTCCGTGCATTCCCTCCCAGAGAATGCTGCAAAATACGCGTCAATTTCGAGTCTCTGTAAGGGATATGACCCTGCCTCGTTCTGTTGCCGCCACTGTCACAGCACAGCAATTACGACAGGAAGACGAGAGTCCAACGCCATATCAGACGACGTGTATCAGAAAAAGATTCAGAAAAAGTTTTTTAAAACCCATTTCAATTGCAGGAGTCAACAACGGTATAAAAGGCATAAGTTGACGATGTTATGTAGTATTCATTACCAGGTACAACCTTCCCATGGTTTTCACGGATGGGCTGATGAGGATATAGGAGAATTGGGGTGTCGACAATAGCCAAGGGAGGGAAAGGAATATATATATATATATATATATCGTCAAATAGATATATATATCGTCATATATATATATATCGTCAAATAGAACTGCCCGGTAAACCGWAGGCAGAGAGGGAGAAGAGGACAACAAATGAGGGGCTGTGACAAACTGTTTCGTCGGAGTTTCACCGACTCATCAGGAGGCTGAATATATATATANAAAAAAAAAAAAAAAAAAAAAAAGAAGCGCTGTCTCATTCAATTCAATCATTTCGATTGCTTCATTTGCAGCGTTGGTCGAGGGGTACGTGGTTCGTGTATGACCAACCACTGATGGATCGACACAGTAGGGAATCGAACCGTCGATCTCAAACTGTGACTCGGTGTTTAATATTGGAACCATACCGGTCGGGATATCGTCCCCCCCGCCCACCCCCCTTCCCCCCCCCCTCCCTGCGCGGTTCAGGGGAGTGATCTGATTGGAAAAAAAAAAAAGAAAAAAAAGAAACAAAGATTCATTCATTTGCCATTGTTGATGGAGTCCATTGTGTGATTCATCGATCACCTCACATACCTCGTATACAACAACCCTCGCACTGAATACCCCCAACCCTCGCACTGAATACCCCCAATTTGCAAACCTTTTTTTTTTTCTTTCAAAACTTCCAAAAAACTTCCGAACGTTCAAACTTTCAAAACTACCCCTGCCTTCTACCAGACACTACCATACAGCCACTCATTTACTTTACAAGATGAATACAGACTGCGCAACCAGTCAAGAACAGAGCTGAAAATTTTAATTTTTCAAATGAGTGCAAGATTAACAAGGTGTGAAACGAACAGATTGAGCCAGCAAGTCTGAACACAATAAACCTGGGTTTCTGTACGTGCACGTGCACTTCACAGCGCGCAAGCCACTGAACCACCAGACCGCCAAGTGCAAGTACATGAAAAAAAAAAAAATAAAAAAAAAATCGATAAGCATTCATGAAGCAAAGAAGGAACTCACTTTCTCAATGTGATTAAATATATCCAAAGCCGCCGAATCCATAATAGCCTTCATCGTATAGGTCTTCCCGCTGCTCGTTTGCCCATAAGCGAAGATGGTGGCTGCAAAGCGTCAAGACACATGATTCAGAAAAAAAAATAATAATAATACTAAAAATCCACGCGTATTAGATATGTGCCGGCATTACACGTGTTGACTATATCATTCAAGTAAGAGCTCCAACAAAAAAAAAAACAAAAAAAAAAAGACATCCTTCCCTACGGCATCATAAAAGATCAGAACATGGAAAAAATCAGATCATGGAATAAAAAAAAAAAAAAAAAAGGTAAGACATGTGCATCAGCCACGCCGCATTCCCCAATCTGAGCTCAGAACGACGAAACAGCAAGCTTCGCAGCCAACCCCAATCTGACACCCTCTAATGAATCTCCAACGGAGGAGGGGGGCAAGGAGAAGAGGGAGGGGGGGGGAGGGTAAGGGGAAACCGGGGAAAGTTTCAAGGAAGCCGGGCTTTGGAAAATATTAGGTAGGGCAACAATTAATCCCCTCGCAATGAGGGGAGACGATGCTGTCCCCCAGGCACCCAGGTTTATAACTACTCTCTCATCCTGTTGAGGGGGTGCTGGACTCCCCCTTTTCCAGCAGCTCCAGCTCCCCACGGATATAAATTCGACCCATCACAATTGGGAGGAGCCCTCCCTTGAAGAGAGCGCATAGAAAAATTAATTCCCTCGAATCGCCTGCAAGGGACGGCTCCCGAGAGAATTTTGGAAAAGAAAAAGAAAAAAAAAGAGAGCGCATAGGGAAAAAAAAAAAAAAAAGAGGCGGCATGTCCGCTGCTTGCATGTTAATTCCTCAACGTCACCGGATGAAGGGTCCGCAGAGGGGTGAGATGGGAATTCCATTACCCCAGCGCCCCCCATATCACAAATTGAATGACACCCGACCTGGGTACAAAGGCACAAAACCCTAAACCCTACAGTCTTCCCCCGAATACATCATGCGGTCATTATAGCTGAATTTGGGGTATCTTTCAGTCTAAATACAGCTATAATGACCGTGCGTTGTATTCGGGGGAAGAAGGTAGAGACAAACTCTGAAAACAAAAAGGACAAGGAACCTCCATCTACGCACAAACGCCTAAGCCCTACGTCTTCACCCGAATAAAACGCCCGGTCATTAGAGCTGTATTTGGGCCAACTTCCAGTCCAAATACAGCGATAATTACCGGGCGTGTTCTATTCGGATGAAGCCGGTAGGGATGAAAGAGAGCAGATCCAGATCAAAAAAAAAGAACAGGGCAAGCAAAGAAAGAACACACCAGGTGGAGAAGAGAAGCGATGAAAAAGAGAGGGAAAAAAAAAAAAAGAGATGGGAAGGAGGGCGATGCAGAGGAGCACCCCTTGAGAATTCCGGTGCAAAGGCCCAAACCCTAGTCCCTCTAAAATATATATATATATATTCTAATAAAGAATGACGCAGAAAATAAAAAAAGGAATGATACAAAATGCACAGAGGGGAAACAAAGGCACAAAGACCTGCAACCCTAAACCCAATACATGATCCACGGTGGAGCTCATTGTGGCGGGGGCGGCTGCTGGTCATCGGAGGTACCCCCCTTTCTCTCCATACTCTCTGTTTGGCCGTTGCCATACCCTCTGTCGGCTTTTTTCATTGCTAATCTTAAGAGCGCCACCTGCGCTATGTGATGTGATTTTCGTCTTTCATCTTGCATGTAGTGTGTCTCACTTGTGTATCTCACTTGTGTGTCTGACTATGCTTGTCCTTCCTATACACGGTCTCACTGTGTATTGACGTCCACTTTAGCTCTTGAAGACGTGCTCAGACCTCTGTGAAGGCTGACATACTACCGTCTTCACCTGATTAGAACGTCCTGCCAATATCGCTGTATCTAGACGGATAATTGCCCCAAATACAGCTACAATGACCGGGCGCTTTAATGTACTCGAGTGCAGACGGTATTCCCTTCAATGTCAGTCACGGGCCTTAACGTTGCCTTGTGGAAAGGATCGACCGTGTCTATAGGGTCGACGCACATACATACTCAAAGGCCCACAACCCTAAGCCCAATACATCATCGGCCGTGGAGTTCATCCTGGCTCATCTGAAATGAGTAAAGGAAGCACGTACATACTCAAAGGCCTTCAACCCTAAACCCAATGAATCATTCACGAGGTATGCGCATCCCACCTGGTAGTCCGAGGCTGTTTTTCACAAGGAAAAAAAAAGGTGTGTAGGGGGCAGCACATACATACTCATCACAGGTCTGCAACCCTAAACCCAATAAATCATTCACGATGTATGGGCATCCCACCTGGTAGTCCGAGGCTGTTTTTCACCCAAAAATAAACACGGTCATTGTTGTTTATCGTAGGTGTGTGTAGGAGGAAACACACGTACTCATCAAAGGTCTATCACCCTAAACCCCATACAAGAGTCGATGGTGGAGGTCATTGCGACTCATCGGAGGTAGTCCCCTAAACCCTATAAATCATTCACGATGTACGGGCACCGCACCTAGTAGTGCAAGGCTGTTTTTCCCAAAAAAACAAAAAAAAGGGTCACTGTCGATTATCGTGGGTGTGTGTAGGAGGAAGCACATACATACTCATCATCAGGTCTGCAACCCAGACCAGGATTTACAAAGCCTCGCTTTCAAGGAATTATGGTAAGATGCGCGCACTTCAGACAAGACTGGCACAAAGTTTAGACCCAATGCACGAGTCGACGGTGGAGGTCACTGCGACTCCTCGGAGGTACTCCCCTTATCTCCGTATTCTCTGTTTGACCGTTGGCTTGTGGAATGGATCGACCGTGTTTATACGAAGCACATCCATATTAGTCAGCGGAGTGAGCATACTACAATAGATGCACTATTCGTGGCCAAGAGACTATACTGTGCTGATGCAATTGGCTTTACGACTCATCTCTATAAAAGACGAAGAAGAGTACGAGCACAACCAAAGAGCTCCGCTGAGGGGAATCCGCGTAAACTGACGAGCTCGAACGGAACTCTTTCAACTGTGCAACTGGATGCACGTGGCCGTATATATGGTCGTATACATGGCCGCAACTGCATGCATGTGGCCGCAATTCCGTCTACACTGGCTCTTCGATCTCAGGGCGTACTCACACTAGCACGATCGTAAATGGATCTGACCGTATATATGGCCGCACCTGGATGCATGTGGCCGCAATTGCGTCCCGAAATAAGTAAAAAAGTCTTTGTGCGAGTATGCACTCAGACAGGGGGGGGAATAATCCAACCGGCCGTGTGCCGCGGCAAGCAATCGGATAATTGGGATCCGGTTTAGTTAAGTGCTGCGTGTGTAGTAAGTTGGTCGGAAACCAAACGCGTCGGGGTTTCCACACATATTTCTTTTTTTTCTTCTTCTTTTTTTTTTTCTTTCTTTTTTTTTTTTTTTACAAAAAGCTCCGTCTATTGGTGGGGAGCAGCACCTGCTGGAAACCGGGTCCAGCGTCCCATTCAGAATGTAGATAAAGTTACGGAAAGAGTTTGGAACATTTCCACACATATTTCGCTGCCAAAGCTTCGATTTTTCATCCACACTGATGCTGGGTGGCCCTAGCTGAATAGCAGTTTGCGAAGGACTGAGACCTCAGCAGAGGGAAGTACACTTGGCTGCTCTTGACAATGGAATCCTTCATGCGGCGGAAACATAAATCCCCTTTTTGTTAGGGAGTGCTTCACGCATGGGAAACAAAACGCCGAGCCTACCGGAGATATAAAACTGGCTTTGATTTGTGGAAATTCCAAACCTACCGCGTTGTTTTAACTCGTTTATTCACGCTGCTTGTCGTAAGCAGAGTGACAACAATCGGCTGCAAGGACAAGAAAGACGGTTGAAAAAACGACCGTTGACATCTTTATCTCTCTCTCTCTCTCTCTCTCTCTCTCTCTCTCTCTCTCTCTCTCTCTCTCTCTCTCTATCTCTTATACACATCTAGATGTGTATAAGAGACAGGCCATAGCCGCCATAGCTGTAGAAGTGTGTGCGT